ATTAAACATTTTTTAAATTGTTCATAATAACAAATTGTGGTCTGAAATTTACCCTGGGAAAATGTTATTATAACAAAAGTTATTTTCTTCCATACTCATTATATATTTGGGGAAAACCACTTACTGTGATTTGTAATTCCTTACTGTTCACTTTATGGATTTTTTAAAAGTAAGCTTAACTTGGTATACTAATTTTCTTTCACCAACACTAACTTCCGGTAATTCTAATGTCAATTTTGATAGTCAGAGTAAGTACTAGGTTGGTAGGCAGAGTTGGTACCAGGTACTCCAGTTTGAGGATTTCAGCGAGGTCATTTATCTGCTATTTTCAGCCTCCTGATAAGTTGTCCCTGGTCATTCATATACATTTTTTGGAGCCATCTCATAGGAACCAAGAAAAGTTTTATTTAGACTTCTACCACTGTTTTCCTCTAGTGTGGTATCATTTTTATCTAAACCTGTGAATACCAGCTCTTAACCAACATTGTGTGGCAGTTCTTAATATGTCAAAGTGGGATGGTATTTGCAGAACTGCTCTATATGCTTAAATCATTTTTTTATTCCACTGAGAAATTTGAAGAAGAGGGAATATTCCTCATCTTGCTTCTCAGAATTTTATTTAAAATTTCTTTTCTGTTTCTGCTTGTGCCCTCTTTCTCCTCAAGGATGAGTCAACAGTAAGAGAGCAGGTCTCTGAGATGACAGAAACATTGCTCTTTTGACATTATTGTTCTCTTTTTCATCTAAAGCTTATTTCTCTCCTGCCATCAATCTGTCCAGGAAGTTCTATAATCACCTACTTTGATGATAGTCTTGAATATTAATTTTAAAATGTTAATGCTTTATCGAAGACTTCCTCCCTTCCTTTAACACACCCACAAGCAGATATCTTTGTGTTTCTGTATATTATAATTAAAGTATGGTTAAGCCGCTAGTAATTATTAGAGTCCCATCTTATGTGTGACAGTGGCTAAAATGTTTGAGGTTACTTGCTAAAATACAAATTAATCTTTGTTAAAATCTTGTACTAAAATGTGTATAATACAAATATTAAAGTTATTTGATGTTTGTTATACACCAGGAAATTTTAAAAACATTTTCAAAGAATAGAATCTCAACTCTGCTGTTTTTTGGCCATCATGTATTAACCTAAAAGTTGGTAGAAAAAAACATAAAATGAAAATCTTTGTGAGTTTGAAGTAGGACAAGATTTCTTAGGTGAAAAACCAAAAGCATAAACCACACACAAGCACTTAACAAAGTAAAATATACTAATGGTCAATAGGCACATGAAAAGATGTTCAACGTCATTATCCATCCATGGAAATGAAATAGAAAACCACAATGAGTTACCACTATACACTCATGGAATAGAAAAAAAAAAGAAGACTGAATACTGTTTTTGTGAGATACAATGCAAATGAGAGAGCCACATATTACCACTCCTTTGGAAATCATTTGTCAGTTTCTCATGAGTTTAGCATAATATTAGATATAAATATACTACAGGAACCAAGTAATTTCATGCTTAAGTATTTACCCAAGAGAAATGAAAACAAAGGTCTACAAAAGATAAATACACAAATGTTCACTATGGCTTTATTCACAATAACCCTAAACTGGAAGAAATATAAATCTACCAATGGGTGATTGGATAAACAAATTATGGTCTCCATTAAATATTAGACAACAATTAAAAGGATGAATTACCAAAACATGTGACATGAAACAACAAGATACGATGAATTTTAAAATCATTTTGCTGAATGAAAGAAACTAGACCCAAAAGATTGTACATTCATATTATGCTTTTCTAATTATATGAAATTCTACAGAAGGAAAAACTAATTTATAGTGATATAATATGTCAGTATTGTCTGGGATCAGGGATGGGGGGTGGTGTTTCAATGCAAATGAGCATGAAGGAACATTTCGAGGTGACACTGTTCTATATCTTGATTTTGATGATAATCATTCACGTGGATACACATGTCAAAGCATCTTATTATACGCTTTTAGTTACATTTTACTACAAGTATGTTATAATTCAATTGAGCTGATTTAAAGTAAAAGATGGATTGGAGATGAGGGATGAGATAGTTTACAAATTTAGGGAAATTATATTCTAAAAATAGCACAGCAAAGTAAGTAGTTTCTTCAAAAGTAAATGAGTAGGAAGAATTCTGAAGAACAATATACATGAGAACAGGGTGCCATTCCCCAGAATATCTCTGATATGCTCAAAAGTGAATACATCTAGATTTTATTGTTAAATTTAAAGATAGTACTTAATGTTAAACTCAAACTAAAGAAAAATAAAAAAGAACTTACATATAAGCTAGAAATTTGGGTGAAATAACATTTTAAGTGTAGGAAAAATGTTAGGTTCATATTATTTAATCCTCCTAGTATTGGAAAGAAGCAGATGTTGATTGGACTTAGAACCAGAAAACCAAGTTTTAGGACACTTGTCAGAATTAAGATAGGTTTCTTATACCCTGTCAAGAACGTTAGTGCAGTCTCCAATGGGCAAAGAAATCTGAAGGTGTTACGGGAGAATTAAGAAGAGTCCTTCTTTTGGGATGTTTTGCTTCTTTTATAGAATAAGTCCTCTGCATTCCCACAGGATTGGCTTTCCCATTTTTGTAAACTGACCATTTCCACAGTTTCTGAAATATATCAAAAAGCAGATGAAGCCATAATTCTAACAAAATATTTTATGAAGAAATTTGTATTTAGATATACAATTGCATTGTTATTGCTACCACTGAATGAAAGGGTGAATGAATTAAAGTCTGATATATGGATAAGACATATCTGAAGGTTTTACTGTAGTATTTCCTTTAAAAGGAAAAACAAATTGGAATGACAGCTAAATTACAGGTCACTAAAATGCAAACGGTAAAACAGTAAGCTAAAAATGAAGATTTTAAAATATTTTTGATCTGTATTTGTCAATTTGATAATTAAGTGCAGTTTATCAGATTTTGTCATATAAAATTGATTTGTTTTTTAAACATTTTTCTCAAGATTTTCTAAGAGCAATAGAGTTAAAGTGTCACGCTATAAGATGGATTTGAAAGTGAACACTAGAACAAAATTTTTCTCTAAGAATGACATTCAAAGAATCATGAGTACATGATGCAAATTTTAGAGTCTGCTTTCAAGTCTTGAGATGGAGTATTTATTTCTGGAGAGTTGTAGGAGACCTCAACCCTAAAAGAAGCTAACTATGAAACTTGATTATGAACTCTTCTTATGGAAATTGAAAAACCTTCATCTGCAAGATTATGATCCAGGCTTTAAAATTTTCACCTCCGAATGTTATCTCTGTCTCCTGGATTTATTATTTTTAAGGGCAAATGCTCTAGTATGCTATGCAGAATGTCAGTACTTTAGGAACATATTGGATAATTCAACTACAAATGAACCATAAATATCACTTGCTTAATTTCTAATGAGAACTTTAATGATGAGAAAACAGTTCAAGTCTTGTTTTTCTTTCTGCAAAAAAAAAAGTTTCACTCATTTCTTACATTAGAATACTGCAAACTTACTAGATTTTGTTAACCAGTGTCACCATAATAAAATAAAATAAAAATAAAATAAATAAAAAGAATCATGTAGTAAATTCATTCTTAAGAAAACCTTTGTTTCAAAACACCATATAATCAGAGAGCAAAAGTTAGCAATTCAGAGTGTTTTCTAATTTTGATCAAATAAATGGCCAAGAAGTTTTGAATACATTTAGAAATTAAAGTCAGTAACTAATACACCTCAATTATCTGGTGCGTGTATTTTTCTGCTTCCTTTAGTATATTATTGTTCTTCAGACATTTTAACTCAATGTGCAGGTTTTCTATAAATTTAAGTAGGTACATGTTATATAAAAATTATACTGTGTATCTTGATTTCTATGTTTTAATTTTTATCCATTGTTTCTGGACTAGACCATCAGAAGTAATCTCGCTTTAATGGATACTTTACATGTGTCTAATTTATTGTACACCAAATTCAAAAGAATTGAAAATAATCTTTGAGTAGAAAGAGAGACTAAGAATTTATAGCAGTTGCAGCATCTATTTTTTAAATTTTTTCTTTTGTTCAATTTAAGTCAAATTTGTCTATTTTTTTCCTTATCTCAATCAAGACGAATTCAATTCTTTTGCTTTAATCTTTATTGAAAAAAATTTCTTTTTGTATTTGTGTGTATGTACATTTGGAAAACAAGCTGAAAAATGTAGGTGTGCATTTTTTCCATGATTTATTTGCTCATCTACTCAAGTGGAAGAATTCCCCTGAGAGAACAAGTTAAATATATGATGAAATAACTCTGTTGCTACCTATTTTTTTCTTGCTTTTAGAAAAATAATGACAAACCTCTAGCCCATATTCCTTTTTTTAAGCTAATCTCTTAAGAGGTTTTAATTGATTATATTTTAAAGGACTAGAAAGACAATATTAGCAACACTCCAATATTCTCTTTTATGTGTGTATATCTTTTGTCTTGAAAATTTTTGTTTAGCAGGATATAATAAGAAATGTAAAATGTCAGGGGCTATGAATCTGAGAATTTAAAAAATGTATTATCTCTTCACTCTGCAGTTGTATATTAATGGCAGATATGCTTTTCATAATGAATAAAAACTGGATACAATGATTTAACTTTCAAAAAAAAAAAAGACAAATCTATGTTTGAAAATCAGCCTAGAAAACATGGAAAAAGCAACATAGTTAATTATTACAAATACAGTATTATTTTCAAATAAAAGGTAAGAAATATGTTAAGCAAATGTTATACTAAATACCACCCTAACACAAAAGATGATCATTGTATTTAACAAAATGCATTTATAATATACATTGTGATAACTTGACTACATCCATATTTCATTCATTTATTTATTATTATTTTAGCAAGAAGGATTAGATTCTAAGTTAGGAATAATAAAAATGACTACAAAAAGTGTATCTTTAATTCAATTTTGTTTTCTTTGCAGAGTGCAGATATGAGCCCAGCAAGCAGCACCACTTCACTTCCTGTTAGTCCTCTTACCGAAGAGCCATTGCCTTTCAAGGTAAAAGACAAACACACAAAAATAATTGTTTATAATACTTTTAAGATAACTAATAAATATTTACTTTACTATGGTAAAACAGTTAGTTCATGCACGGATGGTAAAATGAACTGCTTTAATATGTAAGGATCTTATTTCAAATGTTAAAATCCTTTTTTGTTTTATTTTGTTTGGTTTTATTTTCATTCTAGTTGGTAAATAAAGGCAAAGTTTGAAATAGAAATTAATACTTTATGGAACACATTGTTTGCCTTGCATGTAAGAGACAGTGATTTCATTGTAATAGTTTGATGTCACCAAATTAGAGGTTTCAAATCTTTTGTTTATATCAATTTAAGCAATAAATTTAGAATGAATATTCAGTCCTCACTGAGCGGTTAAATTTTCATTAGCTGATTAAATTTTCATTTATGACTCTAGTTCATAATTAACTAATTATCTCATCTTTACAAATCAAGAATTAAAATATGGACTAATTCCTCCAAACACATTATACTTTAAAAATATTTAAGTAAATATGCCAATAAGTATTTAAGTAATATAATTAGTAGAATTCTTCAGTTTGAAAGGCTATATACATTACAGATATGAAGTCATCTATATATATTTTTTTTGCAGTTTAAGATTAGCTATTTCTATGTAAGCCTAAGCTTATAAATTAGCTTCTGTATGTTTGTGTCAGGGATATTTGGATTTCATTGGGGTTATTATAAATAAGGACACTTCTTAAGATCTTGGGGAAAATAAGAAAAACTTAGGAAGCTGAAATTATGCACTTACATGTAACAGTTTTAGGTTGGTTTAAAGACAGCTGGATGTATGTTTTGGGGTTTGTTATGACTTTCATGATTTTTGTATTTATTGTAAAATTGTTATTATTGTGGGTTTTTTTTTATTTTTCCCATGACTACTATATTTTATTGCTTACACCTGCTACAGTGGCCGGCATATACTAAATATTTGCTATATTGTTAAAATGAAAATAATAGAAGGCTATGAATTTCATTGTGGACATTAGTTTTCTAATTATGCATGCTTTGTTTCTTAATGACAGACTAATAACTATTAAAAGCTCATTTTATATCAGAGAATTGTTAAATACTGAATAGTATTCTGACTACATCATTTATTGGGAAATATTTCTATAGTGTTCTACAACAAAAGGAGAACATAATATGAATGTTTCAAAGCTTAGTGTTACTTGATATTTTCATCTTATGGTGTATGGGACAGAATTTACAGAAGAATCATATCTTTAATAAGATTTTAATTGGATTTTCAAAGTGTCATCAGGAGCCATTATTTTCTTTTTAACGTTGTGACAATGCTTCCATTCCTTGAAAATTAATTTTTTAAAAGGTAAAAGAAAAGATCAGATATATTCCAAAATCAGCTGACATAAAATTTATATATATGTTTTATATATATATATAAATAATATATATATTATTTTTAGTTAGTTTTTCCAGTTCATTCTAAGAGATCGATATTATTTCTGTGTTAATGTGTATACGTGGTTTTACCAGTAATTAAAACTTCCAAGTGCTTATAATATATAATAGTGTCTTTTGGTAGCTTATAAATGACCTCTTGATTTTCTTCTTTTGTAAAAGGAATATTATTTAAATATTAAAATATCCAAAATATTTTATTGGATATAAAAACATCCAACTAGCATTTAAAATTATTTAAAGTATGAAATTATGATATAAAACTGTTACATTTGCTTCTTTTATTTTTGTATTATAAATTGTCGTGTAAATGAGTAATAGAATACTTATTTATCCTTATATGAATATAAAATATATAGAACCTCTTTTGAGATACACCTTAACACTATAGTGCATTATAATTACAAAAATGTGTTGAAAACTATTTAACACATAGAAGACGTTTAAGTTTTCTTATAACCACTTCCTGAAATTTTTGATATAATTTATTTGTGTCTAAAACTTTGTTTAAAATTATGACATTTGACTAAATGTAACTAGAAACAAAATGATTTTTTTCCTTATTCCCCATGTATGTGGCATCATCTTTCAAGTTAATATAAAATTAGTCCTCTTTAACCCCTTAGCTTCCTTTTCTAAGGCAGTGATTCCAGTACCCAACTCTAGAACCATCTGCCCTAATATTAAAAGACAAGGCTTTTTAAAGATAAGCTTTGATAGTTGATTGAGGGAATTGATTTTACCTTTTCTCCTGGGAAGTAATTAAGCTGCTAAAAGAAATGTATTCCATCCTTTTTCTTGGTCTAAAATATTCTGTTTTGGCTCAAGTGTTTATCAAGGTGAATGCTTTCCTTTAATTATCTTCAGAATGGTATTCAGATTAAATTGATTGTAACCATATCATTTAAAAAGATAACAAATGGTATGAGATATATACGTGTGTGTGTGTGTATGTGTGTGTGTGTGTGTGTGTGTGTGTGTGTTTAAGGTATAATTACCTTATAATTACCTTCCCTCTATTATCTCTGTCTTCATTCTTGAATGTTAAATGAGAAATTGGTTATCAATAGGCCAATAGTATCACAGTTGAATCTGTTAAATTGAATGTGGAAGAAAACTGGGTAGCATCCTGGAGACTCTCAAAAGGAGTCAAGAGAGGTAGGTTAAACTTTGGAGATACATGAATTAAAGATGACAATTAAATCTTGTTTAGGACCAGATGTTTATTTTCCATAATAAAGCAGTATTTTTCAACACTTTTAGTACTAGAGCCCATTCTTCAATTTAATTTTTAAACATAAACAGTTGTGCAGTGAAAGATAGTTCAAGCTTCATATACTGACTTGCTTCTGAATTTTGTCCACATAGCAGTTTGCATCCTACTAAACTTCTTAAACTTGCCCTTACCATTTAAAACCCATTGCTGTAGTGTTTTGTTTGACTTAGCTAGTCTTTCAAAAATCAAGATGTTTCCCACAAAAATTCATCTAGTCTTCCCTTAAATGAGCGCAGGGAACTTTGCGTCTTTCAGATAGAACTGATTGACCAAAGATAAGTGAGATTCCTCCACCTGGACAGGGCACATAAATACCATTTCACCACAGTCGTCACCATTCCTTAGAGTATTCATGTTTGGCCATGAAAGCATTTGAATATATTCCTTCATAGAAGAAGATATATCATGAATAGCCCTTTACATATGCTGCAGGTAATAAACTCACAGATTTCTCAGTCAGACTCTTAGTGCTGAGAAATTTCTAAGATTCCAAGCGCTTATAATTGTACAGACTATTGTTATGAACATACATTTAGAAAGAAAAGGCAAATGCATAACCTCTATTTTTTAATAAATATTCAGCATTACATAAACTATATACACAAGTGGTCTGTCATATGCCACTACATCAGTATGGAAGGCCAAGGGATAATTACTTTTGCATGGGTGGGAATAATAGTTTACCAAATAACCACAATAGAATAAAAAAAGTTCAAGATCATTCATCTAAGACTTCAATTTGGGGAAGAAAAAAAAAGCATACTGCTTAACTGTTAATTACATTTTTTGTAGTTTTTTCTATAGAATAACACTGAACCGAGTTGACATTATTAATTCTGATATTCCCATTTTACACTGTTCTCCTTTTTCTCCCTGCCATTCTCTGATTTCTCTCAACTGTCTAATCACTTCCAATCTAACCTGCTTTCCCTCTCCCTGTGTTAGGCTCAGTCTCATGTTCCACACCAAAGATGCTATGGGGCCACCAAATATTACTGTTCCTTAGTAGGATGAACCTTTTTATTTATTTATTTATTAATACCCTCAATCCATCCCTGGAACTAACACTCTTGAAGCTAAAGCTGGTTCATTGTTCCTGACCCCTCTATAATAATATATGTTATTACGGACTATATGCTTTTTGCCAACCACATTCATCACATATTTTAAAATTTATTTATACTTCAGGGAAGCATGGCTGCTAGATTTATTCTTTTTTCCTCCAGAAGCATCTTTTCTTTGATTAGATGTTAGAAAAAGATAGTTTTCTTTCTTACCCTTTTATCTTTATCCTATGATAAATTCAACAGAATAGAAACAAATTTAACTCTATTTTTCTTTAGACTCTGCTTCAAAAGTACCCTTCATTCACCAATCTTCAAAGTCTAAAAATAAACAAAAATAAATCATTGCCTTTCTTGGCCCATAGACTGCTGCTTCTCTGTGATATTTGGGTTCCTGGAGTGTCTAATGAGGTTGGGTGTCCTGTGCCTAGAATGTATAGTGGAGCCACCATCTCTGAAGTCTAGCTACCTTCCCCAGGAGCTGCCACAGAGTGGTGCTGGGCTCTTTCCTAGATCATTTCTCCTTGTGAAATCTGAAGTTCTCTAACTCTTTTTCCTCATCCTCAGAAATCACCATTAATCTAGACTAGAGAAACTCTACCTCTTCAATTTTTCCTTGGAATTATCCCTCTTTAATCAGCTAGGGCTTGGAAAAATCTCCTCAATGTACCTTTTTTAGTAACAGAATCGAGGAAAAGAATTATTTGAGGTGTCCAAAGATTATTCTGCCATGATACAAACCTCACATTAAGGAGCACAGAGTCACCTTGTTTAAACATGGGACAGAGAAATGGAAATAGAGAAATAAAATAATGTCTCAAAAATCTATCCTGTCATGCAATGCTGGGATGTTAAGGGGAGAAATGAAACTAACTCTACCTAACTATAGAGCCTAAACTCAGTACTTCATAACATGCAGTAACACATATAGTTTGCCCTCAACTATATAAAATAAATAATCTATAGAAAAATATCCAGAGAATATACAACTATCAATCATCAACTATTTGAATGGATCATACATAGAAAAAATATTTTTCTGTAGTTTCTATAATAACCACTTATTTCTAGTTTAAGAACAATACTTAGTTTTAAGAAAGCCAAAAAGAAAATTGAGAACATAAGAGGCAGCATAGCCTAGATAGGACACTACCGGGGAACAAATCCCAGTTCTGCCACTTTCTATCTGGGTAACTTCAAGACTTTATG